TAGGTGTGTGTGTTGTGTGTATGTCCAGAGTGTGGCATGTGGGACATCCAGGGTGATCCAGAGTGCGAACAGTGAGTTGTGTGGGCGCTCAGTCTCCATAGCCAGTTTGAAGAGAACTCTTACCTGGTTATGATATCTTTGAGTACTGTGTGGGCGCATGCCGCCAGTTTGCTGTTTCGCTGTTTGCATGCATGACAAGTGTGAAGAAGTCAAGTCTGATTGCACATTTGTATCTCTATAATAATTTATTACTAATACCCAAGTAATGAATTATTAATAATTCGTTACTTTTTAAAATCCTTTTTTAAGTTTTTGTAGTTTTTGATTCTTAACTCAAGTTCCGTAGGCAAAAGTGGTTTGCATTGTTATTCTGTATGACATCTAGGCTACCAGCTGGGCCGCCCGGGTCACCCTATTTCCCCGGACGGCCCGGCCGTGCAAGGACCAGGGAAGGTCCTAGCAAAAAAAAAAAAATCAAAAAAATCCAAAAAAAACTATGTTATTGAGAAGAATAAAATGAACAACTTTTGCGTCAGGGTCACATCAAAATTATTTACCAGATTTAAAATAAAAAATTAAAGGTTTTTTTTTTTTTTTTTTTTTTTTTTTTTAATTATGTTTTGGCACGGCCGGGCAAGTGGCCTCGGGCCACTCTGGTAGCCTAGCATGACATCCTTTTTTTCCTATATATATATTTTTTCCTTAATGGTCCGGACATTTCCGGACCTGCTCACCAGTCCAGACCGTCCGGAACCATGCATGTCCGGAGTTCCGGATATGTCCGGAAGTCCGGACGTTCGGACCTGACCGGACACGCATCCGGTCCCCGGACGTGAGCTGTCCGGGTCGGGGTCCGACGTAGCCATGTTTTTCTTCTTCTGCTGCTTTTTTGTTTTTTCCGTGAGGGTATCAGAAATAAAATGGAGTGGTACCCAGGCTCACAGTGATGTTCAGGGGCCTGGACCCACTAGCGAAGTATTCTACGATGTGTGACGCAATTTTATGTTTTTTTGGAAAATACAAAGTGATTTTTTATTTGCATGAATGGATCGTTTTCTGATTTAAAATGAATTGAAATAGCACATAAAACTATGAAGAACAGCTGTGCACCCGAATTCATGGGTTGGTACGATCTCCTTCACGTAAGTCTTCATACTGATGTACCGTGGCAATAAAATGTGTCCACGAACACAGCCACGAGGATGAACAAGTAATGGCTATAGGGATACATTCATCCCCATGTATCTCATGATGCCTCTAACAGGCCATCCGACAGACGCGGAAGGGTTCCTGTCAGATCCACCACGATATCTCAATTTCACATTTCAAGTTCTATTTCTCAGAGCCAAAAAAAAAAAAACGAAGTCTGGAAATCAACCCCCCCCCTTTAGAGCTCATGAAATCCAGACTTCCCGCCCACGCAAAGCCCCGAGCTATCATTTCCAAGTCAGTCCAACTTTTTTTTTTTTTTTTTTCCCAACGCATCTCATTGGACGGGAGGTGGGCATCTTTACAGTCCCCACTCGGAAACTACCAGGCCGTCGAGATCCAACGTATTCGACGGCCGTACTGAGTCACTCAATGCCACACATGATCGAAATCCTGAACGGCATGGTAGAATACCTTGCTAGTGGGTCCAGGCCCCAGGGTCGGCAAAAACAGGCTCAGAGGTACTAGTGGTTTAAGAAATCACGAAAAAAATATTGCAAATGAATGGAATCAGGGAAGGTCCCACAGTCTACCTGGTGATACTGGTGCCATTACCCAGCTTCGGCTCCCGCTGGAAGCCGGGTGCTGCTCCCCTTCATGTGGAGAACAACTTCCCCCAAACCAACCCTGAAACACTTTTTCCTGGCCAGAATACCATGTGGTCTTGCCTTGGGGCTCAACTTACAGAAAAAGGTGTTCCTCAACCCTATGGTTGAGAACTTAGCGTTCTCCATGACCTATAGGAAACAACAGCAATGAGGAAAAATGCCCGCCCATCCAAGAGGACACTTCCGATTGGAGGATGTTCCACCTGGGTCAAAAAACGGTACTATGGATTTTATGGTGGCAACACTGCGATTGGCCCTGGACCAGGTTCTGGTGGAATGGGAAGAACGGATAGAACAATTCAAACACCACTTCCAACTAGAACTTCTGCATCGGTGGGAGGCATTCAAACAGACACATTAGACACCCTTCACATGTCTAAGGACATATCAGAGCAAATAGTGCAGTTCTCTAGAGAATGGGAGGGGAGAGGGAGGGGTGGGTGGCAGAGGTCTGTTGGTCAGGGGATTGGGATGGAAGGGAAGGAGGGGAGGATGGACAAGGTAGGAGGGAAGTGCCCCGGGATTACCATCTGAAGTTTAAGGAATGGCTGACAGTCGAGCCCAGCTTCCCCCTGAGGCCTGCAAAAGAATTCCCTGATCTGTTCCCCACCATTCGCAGGCTATGGAGATCAGATTGTAAAGAACGACAATGCACATTGTGTGAGGTAGCCTGAACATGTTCTTTTTGTTTTAGAAATTTGCTCCATCAGTCCTTCGGGACATCTGTTAAAATTGGAACGACACAGAGAAGATTAGCATGGCCCCTGTGCAAGGATGACATGCATAAATCGAGAAATGGTCCAATAAAAAAGAAACAAAAAAAAAGACATTTGCTCCATCTATTGGTGGGGAGCAACACCTGCTGGAAACCGGGTCCCGCGTCCCTGAAGGAGTGCCTGCCAGCGTTGATTACCCTGGATCCCAGGGGATTGACTGAGCAGGCCGAGGGATGCCTCATATGTTAACCTTATAACCGTTGGATGCTCATCCCTGACTATGGTCAAGGAGGGGAGGGGGCTGACACCATGGGCCCGGGGGGCACCGGAGCCACTGGCAACGCCGCCGTCCCCTCTTGCTGAGATGCCGCCGTCTTCGAACTATTTGTGGGGGGGCGCACCAGCTGGAAACCTGCTGGAAATGATGCTTGAGCCCGCTATTAGAATCCCTACTACGCCTTGTTGAAAAACCAACCTTCCCCCTGCTGGGAGCAGCATACAAAGAAAGGGATAGAGGGAACAGAAAAAAAGAAAAAAACAAAGAGGAAGAAAGAAAAAAAAAGAAAAAGAAAAACACTAACTGTACGCTCCCATCTTCAGCCAGATTCCCGGCTAAACTCCTTCCTGCAGAATTTCCACCAGTGACATCTGGTGGGGGGGAAAGGGGTCCCCAAAGTCCTGTGCAGGCCTGAGTGGGATCCCCGGGTCAATGGTTGTCCATTCCTCGGAACTGCAGTCTGTAATACCTCTTCATATCCGGCTGCGGATCTTCCTCCTCTCCCATGCGCTGTTCCAGTTGCTCATCCTTCGACCATGGCACCTTGGCTACCCGGCCGTCCCTCTTCCCTCCCAGCCATTCCTCACAGAACTGGGAGATGATCCGGTCCGCATCCCTCCTAAAATGCACGCTGTCCAACTTCTCCCTCCCGGCTTGCCAACGGGCGGTAATCTCAGTCTGTACCAACTGCTTAAAGTGTTCTGTGACCTCCCCCTCCTCCACCCTGGCCCCCTCCAATTCCAGCACACACCTCCTCCACCAGATCACCCAGAGTGCAGACCTTCCTAGACGAAAAAGGTTCCCCGCGCAGTCGTCTTTCTGGAGGTTTGGGCAGTGTCCTAGCAGGATCGCCCTCCAGTCCCATGGCCACGGTGACTCAGGGAACATCTGCACCCAGATCCTAYCCCACCACCGCCACAGCAGTACTGATGCCAGGCACTGCATGAAGATGTGCTCCACTGTCGCCACTCTCTTCTGTGGGGGAAAACTGGATATACACTTTTGACACCAAGTCAGGGCACGGCCTTGCTGCTCCAACCTGGTGTAGTCAATCAGCCAATCATTGGTGGATCAGCAGCGGTGTGCAATTTGCCATTGCAAAGCTGAGATCTTGGCGGGCATCAACTTACAATCTTGGAACCATTTGATAGGCCTTAGCAGGCCTCTGTCTATGTTTAGCTTGCTCTGCCACCTGTCCTCCACCACATCCCGAAGGCATCTCCTGGTCCTCAGCATCCTGTACGCCGGTTTTGCTTTCAGGTTGGTTAACTGCACCGCCTTCTGAGCCCCCCCCCCCCCCCCCCCTCCTTGGGTTGCTGTGGTCCCCCGCTTCCATCGCCATTCTCCAGGATCCAGGGCCAGCTCTTCAATCGGTCTGAACACTCCCCACCCTGATGCGGAAGACCTCCTTTCTCATTCTCCACTCGAAGGGTTGCCTATCCCGACTAAGCGGTCGTCTCTCCCCTATCGTAAAGTATTCCACCAACACCTCCTCCCGCCCCACGAGGTGAACCCGTCCTACCTTGTCTGTTGCTCCCGCCAATCCCACCCAGTCCCCCTGCTCCATGCGAGGGCCCCTCCGCAAAATAGAGTACCACTCTAAAGGCAGGCTCTCTATCGGATACTCCAAAACTTCCTGAGTCTGGTGACAGTAACGCAGCCACCTCTTCATTCTTGCCGCATCCTTCCAATCCCTGGCTTCAACATCCCACAAATCCCCCACTCTTTGTACCCCATGCTTCTTAAACAGTACTCAAAACGATTTTCAACAAGCAGCTGCCTTGTTTAAGTCTGGCTTGAGTTCAGCTTGAGTCTAGCCTGTGTGTAGTGTGTTCAGCTTGATTTAGTTTGGTAGGGTTCTTGTACAAATATGTAGACATTGGGTATTTTCAGTTGGCTCAGATGGTTTTGTGTGCTGGCAGCTCGGTACGCCCTGCAGCCTCCCTGCAATCCTTGGGTGATGTAATTTGTATACCAGGTATGGGTGTAGCAAGAGGTTAATGCCAGGCCAGTCGCTGAACCCGATTCTCAGCATATGAGGACAGTGCAAAGGATGGGTGGCTTTTGGGAACGGGCAGACAGACAGAAGGAGACCCCACTGGTGCCCCTCAGTGGCTCCTACCGGAATCCTGGCCAGGCCAGTGGATGGAAAGGGGGATGGGGGCTACTAGCTTTTCTGGGACGCTGGAACCAGTTTCCAGCATGGTTGGTTTTCATTGTTTGTTTCATGCTCATGTGCTTCCTCAAACTTCTACTTACGCATCTCACAAAGGACGCTGATTCAACAGCCTKCGCAGTAAATCCTCTGGAAACCAGAGTAATCAATGCTGGCAGGCGTTTTCCAGATACCTTCCTGTTTTTCCTTCTGATTTCTCTGATTTTCTTCTGAATTATTCTGTACAAGGGACACTGGATCCGTTTTCCAGCAGGTGACACTCCCCACCAATAGATGGAGCCTCTCCCCAGGTGCTAGCGGTGTCTGCTTTTACCAGCACCACTAGCACTGGAAAAAAAAAAGAAGGAAAAATGAACCCTACCCTTCCGGCCTTTCTTCGCTAGACTGAGATCTCTGTCCCAGGTATCACAAATCAACTTTCTTTTATTACGGTTGCAAGTTTGCAACCTTCTGTGCGTCCAGTAATCTTCACCTTAATGTCCTCATAGATAAACTTCGGGTTAGAACAAGTGGTCATTCCTTTTTTTTCCCCCCAGTACGAGTTCCATTCTATTTGCGGGGAGCATCACATGCCGAGAATGGGGCCCACTCAGCAGATTTGATGATTATAAGGGCAATGCAACATTGATTGCTCTGGTAACACATGCCAGTGCATTTAACAACTGATCATTCCTATGATCCCGAACCACCTTCTTTATCATTGCGCAAGGACCTTGAACACACGTGGTTAATAAGTGGTGTCATTTTTGCCGAATTTCTCACGGGAACTGCCATATTGCCTTGATTTTTTTCTTTTTTTCTTTTTTCTTTTTTTGTGTGATGTATGTGCTTTAGAGTATATCATGTATTCAGTTTGGAGAACTTCGGACAGGCGAAAACACTGAATTCGTTGAATGCTTATTTGAATTCGGAAAGCATATTTGTGTTAGGGTTTAATGTTTTTAAGTTTTTTATTTTGTTTTCTTTTGCTTGTTTTTTTTTTATATTATTATGAGCGTGCAATGCCGTGCATTGTTTGTTTCCAATCTTTTCCACCACGTTGTTTGTGGCGATGCGCCGAATTTCCGGCCTTCCATTAACCATCTCTCCCACTGTGCACTTTTGCTGAGATTCCGCTTTGTGAATACGAGATATGATCCAGTTGTCAGACCATTCAAAAGATCGTCTTGTAAATTTGTTTCAGTGGTCCCTCCATTCCTAGATCCTGCTTGATGCTGGGCAGGTAAGCCACAGATGGCCGTTATTTTCCCATTCCTGTTGGCATCTGATGCAACTAGGTGAGATCTTCATTCCCCTCTTTGCAAACCTGGCTGCAGACGCTGTTGTAAGGATTGTTTGTAGCCATAGGTGCCGGTTCCTGTCATCACAAAGCTTTCAACTGTGACCACAGCCGGGATAGTCAGTCCACGGATACTCGAATACCTTGTTCTGTGTGTTGTTTGGCGACTGTACTCTTGTTCCCCTTTTCTAGGTGTTCTGAATATTTTTCACCCAACTCATGGGGCAGAATGGTACACACAGAGTTGTTAGAAAACAGCTCATGAGGTTGAAACCTGATGGAGTCAGATGAATCCAATACCAGAAAGGTAAAAAGGGAAATTTTCCGTTATGCTCATCAAAGATGGCCGTATGTTCTTTTTGGCCCAATAAAACAGCTGGCTTACACTGGCATGCCCCTCTGAGAGCGATTCAAAATTACGAAGTATCCCCTATGTCGCTTGTTCCTGATATCTTTCAGTATTCCCGTACGGGTACCCATTCCCTGGGACATATGGCCATTTGGAGCTTGGACTGGAATGTGCAATACCAGGCATCCCCGCGAAGTTGTGCTCCTTTTCGAGTGCTGAGGCATGGCTACACAACCTCTCCAAAACCTAATGAAAAACAAAGGTGTCAGAAGCTCGGATTTGGAGAGTGCCTGGCCGTAAGTGGAACCTTGAAATTCCAAGAGTATGCGTGAGGTTCGAAATCCCTCTGTTTCTTTCCATTTCTTCCTGACTACCTTTTGCGAGCTTGTGATTTGAGAGTTGTGTGTGGCAAAGCAGCCAAAACTCTCGAATTTGGTGCCTCTCGAATTCCATGAGTGCTCTTGAAAACCTTTTTCGACTTTGAGACTTGGTTAGGCCCTAGGCATACTTGCAGTAGAGGTTTTGCAAATTTTTGTCAAGAAGTTGCTGCGCTTAGCTTATTTCCTCCTGCAAAGGTCTACTCCTGCACTCTCTCTTTGGGGAGTCTCATGAGCCCCCGTTCACTACTCTCCAGATCATTCGGGTAGAGATAATTAGCAGGTCGTGGGGTTGAATTCTTCTGCATGGCTTGAAAGTAAGGACAAATCCTTTCAGGGAAAATTAAGAAACCAAAATGAAAATCAGCAGTAGAGCTTGGTCAAAGCTGTACAGCATCTGCGACAGCAGGGAAGAAAAGAGAAGGAAACAGTATGATTAAAGTTGTACGGCATCTGTTGCAACAGTGAAGCAGCAGAGGACTTGGTTCTGGATTTATGTGTGAGGGTATTATGCAGGGTCCATGCTAATCTTCCGTGGATCGTAGGTTTGAGTGCTGTTTGATGAGCCCGCGTATAGGTGTCCCGAAGGACACCGAAGCACTTGTGGTGCAGTGCAATCGTAATATGAAGTCATAAAGGGTATAGTCGGAAGGGATGTATTGGATCAGGTAAAGCGCAGTTGTCTGCGTGCATTCTGACAGAGGTATTGCATCAGATAGAGTGATTTATAGAGGTGTAGTTGTCCCTATCTAATACCCGTGCAGGTGATGTAGCTGATTAGTACGCACTTGGCAACTATTGTTGCACAGGCTGTGAGTTCGATTACTGTCGAATTGCATAACGGTAGTGGCAAGTCCCTTGAAAAAATCTCAGGGAAACGAAAGGTGATCCTACAGAGGGATTCTTAGAGTAATTGGGGAAACATTTCAGGAAGGGTTCATTCAAGACGAGGATTTCGACTACCGTTTGAGCATGCCACTGTTGCCCTTGCTCATTGATAGCGTTCTGGGCCGAATGGAGGTCAACCCAACCATTGGGCACTCCGAGAATGCCAGCCGAGTCTGGCCGGTGGCCCAGGCTTGAGTTCTAGTTTTGTGGAGGGACCTCCTTCACCCTTCCGCAAAACAACCATTTCTGGTATGTTGTCAGTGACTTGCCAGCAAGCAGGCATTAACAAACAGATTGGTGATACTTGGAGTCTTAACTTGGTGTGCATGTGGAATGCCGAGGGCTGGTTCATTTTCCTTCGTGGAAAGTACTCAATGCTGAGCATCCTGGCTTATAGTCCTTATTCCAGTGCTGGTGGGTCTGGACCTACTCAAAGGTGGTGATGATGTGCAACCGTATTCATGGTACATGGGTGCAAGGCAACTCTAGCACGGAATCAGAACATGGTCATTTCTCCTCTGTTTGTAGAGGCAAGTCTGCTCTGCTACTCATGCCTTCTTGCCTTCTTTGAGGCTATGGGACCCTTGAACGTCTTATAGGAGGAGGGTGGTGTTCAAGGGTGAATGAGGGCATGTTCAATTAGGGCATGGTTGAATGAGGACACATTTCGTGAGGACATCCAGGGGCTTTGTCCGTAAAGGGCATATGAACTGCTTAAGGAGGTTCTTCTCCTTCTCCTTCGAGCATTGCTTTAGTTTCAGGTGTTATTGTTATGTATGGGTGTTGGTCGTGATTATGGCCAGCTGGAAGGCCTGGCTGTCTGCCCCTTAGCAGTTTCTTGTCCTCTCTCCCCAGCTCCAACGTCCTGGTTCTCCCCTTTTTCTTTGGGTGTTCTTCTTTTGCTGCTGCTGTGGCTTCTGTTGGCTGTGCCTCTGGCTTGCATTGGTGCCAGTGTCTCAATATCTGTCTGAGAGGAACTCTGCTTTCTTTTTAGGGTGGGATAGGCTTGGTAGTGGCCCACCTAAGCTTACTATTGGACACAGGTGACTCTCTTTTGCTGATACTAGGTCAATGAATACGACTTCCTGGGGTAAAGGGAAGTGTGTGGGTGCGAGGTGCAGACACACACAGATGTCGGGGTTCAACCTCCTGATGAGTCGGTGAACGTCCGACAAAACAATCTATCATCATCAGTTTTTATTTTTTTCACTTTTTGTTTTTTGGTACTTGAACTTTTCTTGTTTGCTGGTTGTTGCCTTTTCGCTGCTTTGTGTGCATGTGTGCCGTCTGCCCTCCTGCCTCTCCCGTGCTCTCCTGCCTTAGTGTTGCCTCACTGCTTTTACCTTGTTGGTTTTTGCCTCGATGTTTCTTGTCTACTGTTTATGGTCTTCTCCGTCCTGATCTCTTCCTTCACAGCCTCATACTGGTTGTCTTCCCTCCGGACTCTCGCGTGCCCTCCAGCCTATGTGCCTTGCTCCAGCCTATGTGCCTTGTTGCCGCTTGTTGTCCAGTGCCTGGTTGGCTGCCTGCCCTTTGCTTACTCACTTTCTCGCTGCCCTGTGATTGATTTTTGGCCACCTGCCTTCTCCATGCTCTCCAATCTATGTGCCTTCATGCTGGCTGTCCAATGTCTTGTTGCCTCTCTGCTGTTTGATTCGTTGTCTTTTGCCTTCCGCTTCTTAGTGTGTCTGTTACTGCCCCATATGTTTGCATACACCTGGGGATCTTTTGGGATAGTCATGCCAGCCTATGTTAATGGCTAGTAGCATCGTCGACTTCCTCTGTAGAGGTATGGGATAAAGAGAAAGGAAGTGCGGTTACGCTAGGAAGTGGAGCACTGTGTAGTATGTCATCAGGTTGCTTCCATTGCTACTCCCCACGAGAAAGGGCGCAAGTTCATATGCATGTATTAACCTATGTTTTTTTTTAACAGGTCCTTATGGGTTATGGCCCTGGCTCCATTTCCATTCTGGGGAGCATCAGTCCGGTTCCTATTCCACCGGCAAGTCGGGAAAAGTAATTACATCATAGAACACCCTCACGCTTCCTTCCGTCTGGCCGAAGGAACCCTGATCAGCCTTGATTGCTCCAACATCGTGGAGGATTGACTGTCAGCTTGCCCTGCTTCCACCTTTCCTCGCAGGACTACTATAAGAACCCGTCAGATAAAACATGCATAGCAAGAAAGGTCCGAGAAGCTACAACTGCTGCCAATTCTGACTAAACTCTAATCCCCGCATATGAGTTTTATGAAATCCCTAACATTCTAA